GCCGCTTACGAGCCAAGATAGGGCCTCGAGTTTGAATGTAGCAGGGTTCAGGGTTTTGGGTGTGAGGGCTTACGGATGTAGGTTGGGACTTCCCCTAGAACCTAAACCCTGTCTACTTAAGCCTAAACCCCTCAACTCAAGTGGCTCCGTTTCTCAAGCCTTCGATGTCTCCGTCTTTGCGGCTCCCACAACGCCTCGAGATCAAATGTCCCAGAGAACGCTTCTCGCCAGATCTTCCGAAATTGCTTTGGGGCTTGTGGCTATGGTTTATGGCTTGGGGTTTCGGGCTTAGGGTTTACGGAAATGGCTTAGAATTTTCGGCTTAGGCCTAGGGTCTAGGGGGTGCAGGGCTCCGGCTTGAGGGTGCAGAGCTTTCTGTTAGGGTTGAGGGTTTAGGGTTCAGGGTTAGGAAGGAGACCCCCTGTGCTATCAAAGCTGGACCGCTAAGATGGTTCACGAAATCGTTCTAATCGCACAACGAGGGGCGCCCCCAAGATGATACCAAGCATCATGCAGGGGCCATGACAATTGGAAAACAAAGGGCTTTGGTTTATATTATACCGCAACTATGATCAGGGACCCGAGAAGAATAGTATTACTTATTACTCAGGCTCGTATATTGGTATGATTTAGGAGGCATTCTCCACAGGAAGATCTAGTTCTGAAATTGCCTGGCTTTGCAGGACCCGTTTTCGAAACGAAGCTGGCGGACGAGGCAGCTCTCAGACGTTGATGTGGGATTTGGTCATAGCTCCTCCTGGCCGCCTTTTGGCAGCTGCATGAAGTGAACCTTGGAGTTTTAAGCGCTATCGGGCCAAAGGCTGGTAGAGTTTCAGGGTGCAGTGGTTTTGAGGTTTAGGGCTCAGGGTTTAGGGCTTTGGGTGTCAGGTTTCAGGGCGGAGCGCCCTGGACTTCTCCTTTTGGGTGGCTGCCTTGCAGTGAATGGGGTTGCACTGAGCAGTCAACCAGGAACCCTTAAAGCTACCGTAAAAGGAATCCTCATTCGAGAATTCCGAACTCGAAAACCTAGAGGCCCTGAACCCGGAAGCCCGATCCTCCCAAAGCGCTAATCCCCGAAAGCTCGGAAAGCCCTTACCCCACTTTTCGTCCCGAGCCGCCGTGTCTCCAAAACCAGCCGACTCCTTTGGCTCGTCTCCTTGGCTCGGTCTCTCATGAGTGGTCCTGAAAAATACACTGCTCAGGGCTCTCGGGGTCTCTCCAATACTGGCTTCAGGGTTAGGCTACGTTGAGGGTTTACTTACCAGACATTTATGCTTCGTTAAGTCCCACAAGAAACCGGCAAACAGCGTCGATTTGTGTTCAAAAAACCCTAAACCCTAAAGCCCTAAAACCCTAAAGACTTGAAAGCCATGCTCAAGAACACCCGAATCGCTGGCGAGTGATGCTCGGGCGGCGTGCCCTTCCGCGCGCAGCTTCCTGGGTGCTAGTTCAGAAATTTAATTAACATTGCCATATCATAAGAGGGATCTATAGCAAATAATATGGCTTCCGTATTGTGGTAACTTAAATAAAAAATTATTACTCTTATGATTGTTGTTTTAAACATTAAGTTCCTTAACAAGAGCCCAGCTTCCTGGCATTCTCCCGCGGCTCTTTGGAATCGGCTCCCGTGGGGCCGCTGTGCCGCCTGCTGTGAACCTTCGATGGGGCTCCTTTTGGGTAGCATCCCTTAAAGGGTACCCCTTCCGAACCCTACTTCTGGCTCTCTTAAAAGGGACCTTATTGAGAGGGTCTATATCCCCGAGGGTCCCCCTAATCATAACTCCCACCTTTAAAAAATACCGGACGGGTTCCCCTTAAGGGTTCTAGAGGGGGGTTTCCGAAAATGGGGGACCCCAATATAGTACCCTAAGTAGTAGGATCCTTAGTATAAGGACCCCAAATAAGCCTGGGTAACTTAGGTTTTCAGGATTTAGGGCGGAGAGTGCTGGCTTTTGGGCTTCAGGGCTCAGATTCAGGGTTCAGCATGCACAGGCAACCCTAAAAACCCTAAAACGCGCTAAAATCCGAGACCCTAAACCGTAAACCCTGAAAGCCTCAAGGTTAGGATGTTAGGAGTGTTGAAATTTCTGGGACAAGGTCCCAAACGCGAAGCCAGAGCCGAGGCACGGTCTTGGCCTCTTCAATAACCTGGGTGGCAGCGTCAGAGCCCCCCAACACTCATACCTAGGATACCCAGTAACCTAAGAATAAAACGGCCTCTCTTTTTGATATTGGGTAACTTTATAGGGAACCTAGGACTACAAAAAGGGAATAAGGGTACTACTGGGCATCCTGGATACAAACGATTTAGGGTTTAGGGCTCAGAAAGCGGCCATAAAGAGTGAGATTCGGGTTCATTCGGGGCCATAAAGAAGGAGATGTAGGTTGGATGGCCCATACAGGGGCCACAAGGAAGGAGAAGAGGGCTCCATTCAAGGGCGCGACAAGGCTTCCGTGCAGGGCTCTAGAAGCGTATGAGGAGGATAAGTTGTAGGACCTCACACAAACCCTGAAAACCTCTATAAAACATAGCCCTAAACCCTAAACCCTAAACAAAACAAATCTGCCTGCTCGGAAACCGCGGGAACTGAGCGATGGCCCTTTTTCCATGGGCTACTCCAGAGGCTCTTGACGTCGTCGGAGTCCTCAGGAACGTGTTGTAGAGGTTGTGAAGGGTTCATGTCAGGTTCGAGGCTTTGGAAGGGTCTTATACGAGCTTCAAGGGTTTATACGAGCTTCAAGCGTTGATGGAGGGTCCCGGTAACTTCCTATAAGGGCTTTAGGCATCTATATAAGTGCTTAGCATGTTTTGCAGGTGATTGGGCTTTCCATTTGTAGGTTTCGATGATTAGGGCTTCAGGGTTTTAGGGTTCAGGGCTTTGGGGGCTTCAGGGCTCAAAGCTTCGGGCCTTGAAGGTTAGGGTCCGGACCCTGAAGTTTAGGAGTTAGGCATAGCTGGATTCGAGTCTCGACGGCTTAGAAGTCAAGCTTGACGCTATAACGCTATAGGAGGCGAGTTTAACAGGATTTTGGGTTTTGGTCCTCCGGCGCCGTCCGCGGCTTCAACGTCTGCTCAATGTCCCACGACTCATACGTCCTGTCTCTGCGCGACTCTGCGACGGATGAAGCCCCGTCTACCTTAGAGCATCCGGTTGTGGGCATTGCTTGCAGTCAGTCCAGTTTTGATATTTGTCGTGTAAGAGAGTGCTTCTCTTGAGATTACCTGATTGCTTTGCAGGCCATGACAATTATCACAAGTAGGGGTGGCTAGTTCTTCAGCTAGAATCAAAAGTTTGCAATCCACGCGTCACACTACCACTTTCGCAGGTGGTATGAAAAACCTTACCCCAACTATGGATCCTAAATCGCAGGGGCTCCGAATATAGGAACCCCAAGAAGGACCTTCATTCAAAGTCTTCAACATAGGAGCCTTAACACTCAGAACAGAATTCTTGAATACTGATTCAAGCCCTAAACCCTAAGCCCCTAAACCCCCAAACCCGACACCCCTAAAACCCCAAACCCTAAACCCCTAAACCCCTAAAGCCGCAAGCCCTAAACCCTTATCCCCATGCAGAAGTCTTAGCTTCTAACTTTGGATGCGGTCCTTTGACAGTGCGTGCATGAGTGATGGTTTTTTGTACGTTTCGAAAGCTTCATGGCTCAGAGAGCCCGAACACAGCATCGGCAGGCCGAAGCATAAATCAACAATGTAAAGAGTTGACAGCTGAAGCCACTCTGCATATGTTCGGTGTCGAGTAAAAAGAAGCTACGTCCGAGTGATTGCATGGTTCAGCGCCGCTTTGCTGCATAAGTCTGTGCCCTCTGCGAGAACTCCCAAATTCGAGGTCAACGAAATCTACAGGTTATGGACGCCCAAAACCACGGTGTGAACTCCGCGAACAACACAAGTACAGAGGGATATGGCACTCTGGGTTCTGCACAGCCTTTGGTAAATGGTGTTGGTCCTCAGGGGAGAGTGGGACAAACCAGGAGTGAGCGGTTGGGTCAAGATGAAGGAAATCCGAACCTTCAAGATCAAGCTCCATCTCCACTAGTTCAACCTCCTCAAGGGATGACTGTGCACCAACGACCTGAAGGAGATAGTGAAGTTCACCCTCCATATGACCAAGGAGACCTTCAGGGCCAAATGGCAGTGTTGCAGAATCATGGACAGTCACCGTCGGTACCTGTAGTACAAGAACAGATAAGAACCCCATCCTCCCAGCTCCAGGTGCAAGAGTTTTTCACTGCAGAGTCAAGGACAACAGTGAGTCCAGAGCAACCGACGCGCTGGACAACGAGGGTGACCGAGTTCTTCAGAACAACAGCTCATCGAGGAGTACAAGGAGTTGATAGATTGCTGGACAACTTGGGTTTTCAGAATGTACATGTTCAGCCGGGAGCTTTGCTTACGGGGCGTTCTGTTGAGAGGACCGTGCAGTTTTCCCCGCCAGAACAGCTACCAGAGAGAAGGGTGTCTCCAGTTGCCCCTCCAGTGCCGCTGTCATGGGCAACTACAAACCAAGAGCCCCCTCTCTTTGCCAGGGAGCAGATTGAGCAGATGAGACAGGCGCGAAGGGATCATCCGTTGATCTACGGGCAGGGCTCTGAAGTGGGAAGCGACAATTCGTCACGACTTCAGGCAGAGGTGCAGAGGCAGCTTGAAGAGTACGCAGCAAGGCATCAAGATCAGGTGAGAAGCTTGCAAGAAGAGGTTCAAAGGTTGAGAAGTGAAAGAAGCCAACATGGAGGAATGGGGCATTCTGCCTCAATGGCATCGCAAGTGGCGGTACCTGCACCCCCGGGATCTTTCCTACCGAGGCCTCCAATTGCACCACCACCGGCCCCTCCGATGGCGACGATGCTACCTGAAGTACAAGCAAGCAATCTACCTCAACACCCAAGCGTTCCTGCGGGGCACGATGCTAATGTACCTGGAGTACAAGTAAGCAATCTACCTCAACACCCAAGCGTTCCTGTGGGGCACGATGCTAATGTACCTGGAGTACAAGCAAGCAATCTACCTCAACACCCGAGCGTTCCTGGAGTACAAGCAGGCAATCTACCTCAACACCCGAGCGTTCCTGGAGTACAAGCAGGCAATCTACCTCAACACCCGAGCGTTCCTGGAGTACAAGCAGGCAATCTACCTCAACACCCGAGCGTTCCTGGAGTACAAGCAGGCAATCTACCTCAACACCCGAGCGTTCCTGGAGTACAAGCAGGCAATCTACCTCAACACCCGAGCGTTCCTGGAGTACAAGCAAGCAATCTACCTCAACACCCAAGCGTTCCTGCGGGGCACGATGCTAATGTACCTGGAGTACAAGCAAGCAATCTACCTCAACACCCGAGCGTTCCTGGAGTACAAGCAGGCAATCTACCTCAACACCCGAGCGTTCCTGGAGTACAAGCAGGCAATCTACCTCAACACCCGAGCGTTCCTGGAGTACAAGCAGGCAATCTACCTCAACACCCGAGCGTTCCTGGAGTACAAGCAGGCAATCTACCTCAACACCCGAGCGTACCTGGTGGTCGTGGGCCAAGTCAGAGTCATTCAGATCCAGGGGGCAAGTCAGGGCCGTCGTCAGCACAGCAATGGTTGTCAGGAGATAAGCCCGATCACATTGCTCTTCTAGCCGGTGGGATGGCACAGCTTCAACAGGCAATGCTGCAGCAGCTCTCGTCGAAGGAAAAGGGTGAAGATGCTTCGCCAGAGGCTGTTAAACCAGGCACAAATTCGTTGCCGAGTTTGCCAGCGGTATCGGCGTCTACAAGCTCTATTGATATCGCAGACTGGCTTGAAATGTTGGATGCTCCGATGTCGGATTTGTCAGACGGATCCTCAGCATGGTGGAGTATGGTTCGTCAACGTGCAGGGGCCTCGTATGAAAAGTGGACAAATGCTGGTCCGATGGAGAAGCTGTCAATAGCACTAGAACGTGACGGAGCTTTGGAAGGTGGGAGATGGAGCCGTGTCAACAGCAGGGCGGCTTCGATGATGATGTTGGCGCTCCATGAGAGTGTTCGCAGCGAGATGGTGGCACGGAGGCTGACAGGATCATCGGTGAGTTTGCTATTCAGACTGATGACGTTGTATCAGCCAGGAGGAGAAGCAGAACGAACTCGCATTCTCCACAATCTCCAATGTCCGGGTGAAGAAACCGAGCCGGCTAAAGTGGTGGAGGCCCTACGGTCATGGGAGAGATGGCTGAGGAGATGTAAAGAGTTGAGCCTGGCGACCCCGGATCCTACGATCCTCTCGAAAGGGCTGGGCGCAATGGTGAGAAAAGTGATTGAAAGAAATCCAGAAATGGGTTTCAGAACAAGCTTGGTTCGATCAACCCTTCAAGTCGACACAAGGCCCTCTTACGAGACCATCGACACTTACTACAAGCACCTGATGGCGGAGTGTGAGGCGTTGGCTGTGTCGTCGTCGTCAATGACTACAACGTTGAGCGCTCCATCAACAACTACGGCTCCCGCTACACCAAGGCAAGAGCCAAGGATGCGACCTTTGAAAACGGAACCCAAGGCTACCGGACCTACCACATCTCCTACGCCAACAAGAACTTCTACGACACCGGGGGCAACCACTGGCGACCAGGACAAAGGGGAAAAGTATATGACTGAAAAGAAGGATGTTCCCTGCAAGTACTTCGGCAAGACATTCAAGGGATGTGCTCGGGCAGGAAAATGCCCTTTCCTTCATAGCTGGGAGGGTTTGGAGAAGGAGAAATCTAGCCGATGCCTGGCATGTGGAGGAAAGCATATGGTCAAAGACTGCATCAACAAGAAGGGCGGCTCACCCACGGCAGCATCGGCGGCAAAGGCACCACCCCAAGTAAAGGCTGCAGCAACGCCAGGACCTACGTCTTCAACGTCATCTACTACATCCAACAAGAACGTCAGGATTGAAGAGGGGACGCCTGCAGATGGAGCTTCAGCTGCTCAGCGTGACTTGGGAACGGCAGACCTCAAGGAAGTCCTTGCGGATGTGGGGAAGATGTTGAAAGCTATGAGCGCTACGTCGCTGAAGAGAGCTACGGTGGCAAAGGACGCGCTCATGCAGAGAGTCAACTCAATGGCTCAGGTCTTTGCTGCGCAAGTTGGCGGAGCAACAGAAGATGATGAAGAACAAGGTGGTTTGTTGGACAGTGGGGCCAGCAATGCTATGAGACCCGCGAACCCAGAAGAGTACCAAAGTGGGATACCAGTGAAGGTTACGCTGGCGGGTGAGGAGGAGCGCATCCTTCGACAAAACCGTCAAGGAACAGTTTTGGTTGAGGAAAAGGACATGGAGAACTCGGCCACTCAACCCATCGTGCCGTTGGGAGCGCTGGTCCAGGATCTGGGCTGCAGCTTGGTTTGGAAGCGAGGTCAGTTTCGGCTAATGCACCCTTATCGGGGGCAGCTGAGAGTCAAGGTGCGGAACAACTGCCCAGAGGTGACCCTCAGAGAGGCCAACATGCTGATCAAAGAACTCGAGGAGAACCAGGTTGCGCAGTTGACATCTCAAGTCGATTCTCTTACGGCAAGATTGGAAGTTATGCGAATGGAAGAAAAACAGACCTGGGATGAGCTTCTGAAGGCTTACCTCGAGTCCGGAAATCAGGGACTACTCCAACGAGCTGTGATGCTTTGCCCCTTCACCAAGGACATTCCAGCGGATGCCCAAGCAATGTTGGTAACCAGCTTCGACCCTGATGGTGGTGAAAAGTATATGAAGGAACTCCCGATTACCCGAAGGAGGCGACGATTGCTTATGGCTTCAGAAAGCTGGGTGATCAGGCTTTTTGCGGGAGAGGGCTCAGATGATGATGGTTTCGTCAAGGCTGCCAGCAGAAATGGAAGAGTAGTCCTCAACGTTGACAAGGCCAACTCGAAGCTATGGGACATCAATGGACTGTCGCCGGCCTACAAGTTGATGTTATGGGCGGCATCAAAAGGGAAGATTGCAGACGTTATTGGCAGTCCCCCCGAGACTACATGGACAACAAGCACCACTCCTTTGAGAGGCCCAGGTTCAGTTCATGTTCGAACCAAAGACTACCCCTACGGCGTTCCGGAATTTTCTCCACTACGACAGGCCCGTGTGAACAAGGAGACCGCATGTTGTGCAAAGCAGCTCCTCATATGGACAATGTCAATGATGAAGGGAAGGCGCAATGTGGGCTTTCTGATGGAATTTCCAGCAGATGAGGTTTCGCCTCTAGAAAATGCCCCGAACTGGCTGTCCTTCTGGAAAACGGAAATGTGGAAGTCATTCAAGTCAGTCAGCGGCACCAAGCAAGTGACGTTCAATCAAGGAGCGTATGGACACGAAGGAGTGCGACCAACGTCTTTGGCAACAACCTACCCCATGCTAACTGAGATAGATGGTGAAGTTGATGTACCAGAAGGTTGTGTTCCGACCTCCTTGCTTTCAAAGAAGACTTTAAGGTCGTGGTCCGACGACTTCAAGTGGATGGTTTCGTACGCAATGATGGACTATGTTCCCTCTCGCTCAGGGATTGAGGAAGAGATGGACCAGTGTGGAGCCAAAATTCAGCAAGCTGACGAAGGACCAACGAGAAGCGTGGACACAACATCTACTACAAGACCATCAACCTTACAGGTCCGATTGTTCAGTTTGTTTGAATGCCCAGGCCACAGGATATCAACACAGAAGACGGAAGCACCCTCAACTCTACACGTTGGCGCTGGACCTTGCAGGCCCCTTCAAGGTGTCAGGAAGGGACATGGACTTCGATGACTACAAATACATCATGGTAGCGGCGTATAGATGCCCAAAGGAGTACATCGACGCAAAGTCACATGATGAAATGGTCAAGGAGTTTGAGATGGATGAGTATGAGCCGTCGGAAGGTGAAGAAGATGACTTGATGGAACCTATCATGGGTGATGGTGCTCCTGTGGACGTGGAAACCGATGACGACAAGAAAGAGCCCATGGGACCAGCGACCTTGGATGAAGCAGTGGAGGAACTTACGGAGTTACCGGAGTGGACCACCCTGTATATCACCCGGGCCATGAGGAGGAGAACAAAGACGGAAGCGCTACGGGCAGCAAGGGAAATCGTCCTACAGCTAAAAATGAGTGGATTGTATGTGTCAACAGTTCACACGGACCGGGCGCGGGAGTTTTCTTCGTTGGTCTTCAAGGAGTGGCTTGCAGAAAGTGGACTGAGGCACACCCGTACCTCAGGAGGAGAACCAGCGGGCAACAGCACGGCGGAGCTTGGAGTGAGATGGGCTAAGAATCGTGTACGAGCTCTTCTAAAGGGCGCGAAGGCGGAGCCAAAGGACTGGCCCCTTGCTATATCACAGGCCTCAGCGTCAACATGGGCAAGGGCGTTTCCCTACTCACCTACAGCAAGGTTGCCGGCAGCACCGTTTGGACAAGAGATTTGGTTTCGTTCAAAGGGATACAAGGGCGCCGCCGAAATGAAGCACGACCCCTCCAGTGATCGATGGAAAAAGGGGTGGTATCGAGGACCTGCGATGGATGTTTCAAGGGGGCATGTGATACTGAGAGAAGATGGTGGTCTCACTGTGGCGAAGAGCGTAAAGTTCAATGTCATTGACCCGGCCAAGGAGTTCCCAGACTTGTTCCTCCCAGGTGAAGCAGATGGAGTTCAACTACGAGATGGAGAAGAAGTGAAGTCGCAGTCAAAAAGGGAGCTCAGGGATGAAATTGAGTTCTTGGCTAGAAGAAAGCTGGAGGAGCAGGACTTTGGGATTAACGGCATCCTTCAGATCTATGAAAGATTGGAGGAGTTGGGGGACACCGACATGAGGATCGGGAAGAAGGCTGCAGTGACCTCATGGTTCTCGGGAGCGTTTGTGCACGGAGGAAAGCAGGAACTCGGTTGAACCTCCGGGAGTACCCTTACGCTACTAAGCTTCTTGCAGGCTTTGGGAAGAAGTATGCTGGAGGAAGGCCGTTCACAGCACTTGGAATTGCCAGGAATGCCAACCTTGGGATCCATCGAGACTCTCATAATGCAAGATTCTCCGAGAACATCATCGTTCCGATCACGGACTTCAAGGGCGGAGGGTTGTGGTTGGAGCAAAGTGATGGTGAAGATGCGGGAGAAAAAAGGGAGCTTCCAAATGGACAGATCGTCTATGGTAACTTGGTGAAGGCAGAAAAGGGGAAACCAATCTGTTTTCCGCCAAGACGATGGCATCAAGTTCAACCTTGGCAAGGAGATCGCGTCACCTTCCTCATGTACACTCCTCGTGGAACCAAGTTGTCAGAGAAGGACATGGTTGAGTTGGAGACGGCTGGATTTCCTATTGACAGAAAGATCCTTCAGAACCAGCAGGACGAGGAGGAGTGCAATGAAGTTCAGGGAGATGAGTTCGCCAACGTGAAGACGATGAATGTGGAGCGAACGGTTGCAACAGTGGATGCTTTTGTGGAAATTGAGGAGGGCTTCGTTGAACGAAAGAAAAAACCGTGGCAGGGAGATTGGGAACGACTACCTGATCCAGATGGAAGGGCAAAGCTGAAAAAGATCGTAAAAAAGGCTGAAGTCCAATACACGGCCAACATCGAAGCAATCCTTCAGGACCACATCGACAACAAGAAACCACTAGAAGTGACACATACGGTCAGTCTTGGGGAAGTTAGGAAGGCTCTAAAGCAATGGGCCCCTTCAGCCGAGAAGGAGTACAACAACCTGGTGCATGGAAAAAAGGCCTTTAGACCAGTGAAGTTTCGAGACCTCCCGGCGGAATGTCGTATTGTGCCATGGAAGGGTGTCTTCACAGTAAAGCCAGAAGGCAACGAAGAAGGATTCAAGAGGAAAACTCGTTTTGTCGCTTGTGGCAATCATCTAGAAGAAGGTGCTCTAACAGAAGCGGACTACGACGTGTACGCAGCAGGCATTGATGCTTCATCATTGCGAACTATGCTTGCCTACAAAACGACCAAGCCTACTTGGGGAGCGGCTGTGACGGACATTCGACAGGCCTTTGTTCTGGCTCCATGGATAGGACGGACCGTGGCACTTAAGCCGCCAGCTTTGGCGGTTGAAATGGGCTTAGCGGAGCCGGACGACTACTGGCTTGTGGAAAAGTCCATCTATGGGCTGCGAGAGGCCCCAGCGGCTTGGGCTACATTTCGTGACAATGAGTTGCGAGCTGCGAGATGGGAGACGGAGGTCGATGGAGAAAAGGTCGAGTTAAAGTTGCAGCAGCTGGTCTCCGATGATCAGGTTTGGAAGGTTGTCCGTTCAGATGAAAGCAATCAAGAAGCTTTGGGCTACCTGTTGGTGTATGTGGATGACCTGATGATAATGGGCTCGGAAAGTGTCATGGGCTCGTTCTTTGAGTGGGTGTCCAATAAGTGGGAGTGTGATGCTCTCAGTGTCCTGTCGGAAGAGAACAACTTGAAGTTCCTGGGAATGGAGTTACACTACGTGAACGGAGGAATCGAAGTGTGTCAAGAAGGCTTCATTCGAGAACTACTTCGTGCGCATCAACACAATGGTGCAAGGTCAAAGACACAGGGCGCGAAGGAGACGCTAATCATGTCGGCTGAAGAGGAGGCGATGATGATCGAGGGTTCCCTGGTGAACTTGGAGGGAAAGGAACATTTGGTTAAAGAGGCTCAGCGACGAGTTGGAGAGTTGTTGTGGTTGAGTTCACGGTCAAGACCAGATATCCAGTATGCTACAGCGGTTATGGCATCTCGAATCACGCGGTGCCCGGAGGCAGTGATCACAATTGGTGATCGACTTCTGGATTACCTGAATGAGACCATGTACGATCGACTACGTTTCGCCAATGACAATGACGAGCTCCAAACGCTGAGGACTTACACCGACTCGAGCTTCGCGCCCTCGTCCGGGAAGAGTCATGGTTCAGTGGCTATTTTCTATGGATCCTGCCCTTTGACGTGGAGGAGCTCCAGACAACCACTCGTGGCATTATCCACGGCGGAAACGGAGCTTATGGAGGCTGTTGAGGGGGCGGTGGTGAGCTACTCGACCAAATGCTTGATAGAAGAGCTCCTCGATAAACCATTACATATTACACTCCACGTCGACAACAGCGCCGCTATTTCTTTAATGACCACGGCCTCTGGAACATGGAGAACAAGGCATCTACGACTACGCGCAAATTGGATAAAAGAGAAGATCCTCTTGCGAGAAGTGGCTGTTGTTCATGAACCGGGAACGACACAAAGGGCGGACATCGGGACAAAACCCTTCAACAAGGACAGGCTCCAGCAGCTGAAGGACCTATGGGACATCAAGAACCGGCGACCCGTACAAGTGAAATCAATGAAGGCTTTGAATACAAGTTCGTTGATGAAGGGACTTATGGTCCTGTCTCAAATATGTGGTGCAAAAGGAAAAAGAGACGACATCGTGAAGGAAGAGATCCAGACCGAGGTTCCATGGGACTTGTACATTGTCATCATTATAATGGCCATTGCGGTGATCGGGCTGTGGGAGGCATGCAAACATTGTTTACAACGACAAAGGGTGAACGTGAAGACGTTAAGGGCCAAGGCAGCGGAAAGTTCAAAGAAGCTGACCAGGAATGACCTGAAAGAGCTTCAAGTTCTTATGTCATTGGTGCCGCAGTCGTTGTCAGATGAGCAGAAGCTTCGACTCTTTGACCTCAAGGAGTTATTTGATTCTACTATGCCATCGAATACGTCACCGCTGCCAACAACGGTTATGGAAGGGTCGACTCAGGCATCATCGTCAGCGTCTTCGTCATCTATACACAACAAGAAGCCTAAAGATCCTCCCAAAACAAGGGAACAAGGGGTTCAGAAAGATCCTCCAGCCTTTGAGCGAGTTCCTCCTCCACCGCCACAACAGGTGAGGGTATTTGCAGGCCCTTACTATCAGACGGAAGGAAGCTCAGTGCTCCATGTGTATGAGAACTGTTGGGGTCTGCGCAACACGAATAGACAGAGGCAAGTGCAACTCTGCCGTTGCTGCGCGGAGAACAACGGGAACCGCATCTACTGAGAAGATTCAGAAATGTGATGCTTCACTCACGCTAAGCATCAAGGAGGAGTGCAGAAGTCTTAGCTTCTAACTTCGGATGCGGTCCTTTGACAGTGCGTGCATGAGTGATGGTTTTTTGTACGTTTCGAAAGCTTCATGGCTCAGAGAGCCCGAACACAGCATCGGCAGGCCGAAGCATAAATCAACAATGTAAAAAGTTGACAGCTGAAGCCACTCTGCATATGTTCGGTGTCGAGTAAAAAGAAGCTACGTCCGAGTGATTGCATGGTTCAGCGCCGCTTTGCTGCATAAGTCTGTGCCCTCTGCGAGAACTCCCAAATTCGAGGTCAACGAAATCTACACCCCAATAGACTGCTCGGCACGGCTGCTCCAGCCAGCGCCACAACCTGCAGCAAGGCCCAAAGTACCCACATCATCGCGGCAAGGCGCGCTTGAGCCTAGCGGCCTCAGGTTTAGGCTTTAAGGTGTATATACATGTGTATATATAGATATATGTTTACATATGTATATATATATATACATTATGTAAACACATATATGTATATGTACATACATATATATATATATATATGTATTAGGGTGTAGAGTTTACGGTTTAGTCCTTACGTTTATGTCTTAGGGTGTAGAGTTTAGGGAGAGTTCAGGGTCGAGGGTCTAACTTAAGAAATGGGGGGAATACGATGGATAATATGCCTTCCTCACGGTTTAGGGTTTAGGGTTTAGGGTTTAGGGTGGTCACTTGTCTTACGTTCCTTCACCAAGCACCTAGCCAGTGGCATGCGCAGCAGGCACAGGAGTCATAGCAGCCGCAGCAGCAGCAGCAGCAGCAGCAGCATCGTCAGATTCTGCAGCATCAGCACGGGGAGGGGGATGTACTGGTGGTGTTGTTCTTGCTACTACAGTAGTGAGACTATGCTTGCTCCCAGCATGAACATGACCATAACCCGAACCTTTGCACATTCATGGTCTTGAACATCAACCCTGATTAGGATAAGGGGAAAACATACTGCGAACTACAAGCTAGCAAGAGGTAGCAGCACTTAAAGTGATCCCGATTAGGGTACCCTGTGTAGACAAATCCCTTATAGAACCTTCGAAAAGCCCTGGTATAGAGACCTTAAAAGGAACCCTGTTCGAATTATTAAGGCCCCTGTAGCAGAGACTCCCGAAATCACGGTGCCTTGTTGACGAATCAGCAAAAGTCGAAGCTGGTGTCAGGGCTCTAGGGTTTGGGATTTAGGGTTTAGGGTTCAGGGTTTAGGTCGCCGAGCAAACGTGTTGTCCAGAGACCTCTCCGCTCAAAGACCTGTCGCTTGAGAATGTACGGCCTACATCCTTTGATTCAGATTCTTAGGCTCACGATAAAAGCCGTGACGAGATCCCGTCCAAATCCTACACCCTGCACAGGTGTTCGTAGATTCGTCGCGGTCGTCGGGGGGAAGCTGCTTTAAGAGATGGTGCAGTTCTGCAGGCTCATTCCTCCATCATTAAAGCAGCTGGAGTGTGGGATCTGAGTGTCGCTTACTACATCACTGACCGTACATTAGTTGCCCGCAAGTCCTCAACCCGAGACCATTGCAGCCGCCTGCATGCTGTTCATGCCAGCGATGGAAAGGTGACTCTGCCTGCCGTCATACTGCTGATGGACAAAATCCTGCATTACCCTTTATAAGGAATATATCATAATTCCCATAGTTTAGGGTCCTTAAGGTCACGCAGGCTTTTGTCCATCAACAGTATTGCCACAGCGGGGTGCTTCCCGGGGCCAACAGTGGTCGCTTTGGTAGTGGCACTTGAGGTTGCACCAGTACTGGCCAGCTAGATAGCCAGAATTGCAGTACAAGTACTTTAGCAGTCGGCGCGCAGCAGCAGTACAGTAGCAGTCGCAGTCGCAGTGGCAGTCGCAGTAGCAGGAGCAGTCGCACTGGCAGTGGCGGGAGTAGGAGGAGGAGGAGGAGTACGAATAGTAGTAGGAGGAGTGATAACTATTCGTAATAACTACTACGACTACTACTGCTTCTACTACTACTGCTACTACTGCTACTTCTTCTACTTCTACTTCTACTTCTTGGTGGTAGCAGCAGTAGCAGTAGCAGTAGCAGTAGCAGTAGCAGTAGCAGTAGCAGTAGCAGTAGCAGTAGCAGTAGCAGTAGCAGTAGCAGTAGCAGTAGCAGTAGCAGTAGCAGTAGCAGTAGCAGTAGCATCAGCAGTAGCAGTAGCAGTAGCAGTAGCAGTAGCATCAGCATCAGCAGTAGCATCAGCAGTAGCAGTAGCAGTAGCAGTAGCAGTAGCAGTAGCAGTAGCAGTAGCAGTAGCAGTAGCAGTAGCAGTAGCAGTAGCAGTAGCAGCAGCAGCAACAGCAGTACTACGTACTGGTAGGAACAGCAACAGCAGTTGTTGTTGCTGTCGGCGCCGTTGCTGGTCTTGCTGCTTTTGCTGCTGGAGCTCCTCCTCTGCCTCCTCTTCCTCCTTCTCCTCCTCGTGGTGCCGTTGACATCACGTCCGCCCGTGTTGTTGCCATTGCCGTTATTGCATATGTCGTCCTTTCTGCTCACGTCAATGTTGTTGTTGTTGTTGTTGCTGTTGTTGTTGGTGGTGGTGGATATGGCGATGGCATGATGAGGGCATCGCCGAGGATGACGACATCCGCAACGATGATGATGATGGTGACAACGATGCTGCTGATGATGATGATGATGATGATGATGGTGACAACGATGCTGATGATGCTGGTGGTGATGATGATGGCGATGATGATGGTGGTGATGATGATTGTGATTATAATGATGATGGTGGTGATGATGATGATGTTGGCGATGATGCTGGTGATGCTGCTGGTGATTATAATGATGATGGTGGTGATGACGATGATGATGATGATGCTGGCGATGATGATGGTGACGGTGATGGTGATGATGATGATGGTAACGGTGATGATGGCGATGGCGACGATGGTGACGATGGTGATGACGATGATGACGATGATGATGATGATGATGACGATGCTGATGATAAGGATGAGGATGAGGATGACTAGTATTAGTCATGAGAGCAACAAGATTACAGAATAGCCTGAGATCCTCCAGTCGGTTACCCAGTTTAGGATTTCGGATTGAGGGTCGAGGGCTTCGGGTTTAGGGTTTAGGTCTCAACCACCCCAAATGACCGAAAACCTCCACAAGAAACATCTCGATTCCCTGAATGAGCCCCCGAATCGATTTAAGGAAAAGGGTCCCAGCCCGTGGAGCCTTGGGCAAGTTGGACAAGGTACCGACTACGCCTGGAAATTCAAGGGGGTTCAGTGTCATTTAGGGTTTGGGGGCTTCGGATGTTGGGTTTAGGGTTTAGGGTTTAGGGTTTATAGTTTGTACTTTGGGGTTTAGGGTTTTGGGATTCAAGGGGGTTCGGGGCTTCGGGTGTTGGGCATAGCCAACACGTACGCTGAACCCCAATTCAGATTGGACTGGGAACTCCTAGATTCGACTGTCGGCAGGTTACACAAACCCGACAGCGAGATCCTGCACACAGCCGAGCAAAACCCAAAGAGGCCATATTATCCCAACCCGCGCTATGGGCTATGGGTCCAGTGCGCTCTGCCAGTCTAGACTACAATGTTGCATGTTCGCATCGATGCTGCTCGGTCGGTTGCCGCACAAAGCTGCAATCCTGCCAGTCAAAACCCCAAACTCAAAAAAAACACCACAAAGTTCGGTACACAACCGACAGCCGTCGCACGCCCTATCCCCCTAGCCCCAAAACCATCACACCCGAAACCTTGAACCCAAAGTGAGTCAACCCTCAGACGCTGTAACTTGAAACTTACATCATGCGATCCGTATCAGGTGATCCGCAACCAAACACTCTCAACCCAGAAGAACTCCAAACCCCAATATCCTTCAAAGTAGCGGAAGCTAAACATACACTCCAACAGCCTACGTTCAAAAGAAAAAGCGTAGATCACACCACCACAGCTACACAAGCTAGCCAACAGGGCTCCGCAGGCTCTTGCTTCTCTACCCGGCTGCGCAAACTAACCCATCGCTGAGAGAGCTCCACTACAGAGCAGGGCGGACCATGAGACATGTGGGATTAAGCGTGAGAGCTTACCTGTAGGACTTCAGGGGCCCTCTGGGAAAGCCTAAACTCGGCAGAAATCCTCAGATAATCTGAACTCCAGCTTGAAAGACCAAACCCCAACACCCTCACCCCTAAAACCTGAACCCTAAAGGCTCTGAACTTAGGGCATCTGCTTGGTAAAAGCCCTGCATGCATTGGTCGTCCAGGGGCCCCTGCACTCTGCCTTCTCACCTCCCACGCTCTTTTTTGGAGTTTGGGCTCAAGTTTGGGCTCAAGGTTTAGGGTTCCTTTAAGGGTCCCTTTAAAGGGATCGATAGGGAATCTGTAAGGGTATATGGTTTAGGGTTCAAGATTTTGGGCTCATGGCATCGTCTTTACGACGTCGGGTGGGTTGAAGGCTTCAGGCTCTGCGGGCGCCTCTGAAGCATGGCTTTCTAGGTGGGGCCTTTAAAGCCTTTGAAAAATATTAGTAAAGAAGATCCTCTTAAGCCCAATAAGGGAAAATATAAAATGTCCCAAAGCCCTACCTGGCTTTGAGGGGTTTCCGGCATCATTGGGTTTAAGTTGCTTCTTGTTCTGCGGCTTCTGGCCTAAAGGGAACTCCAGAAAGTTGGAATATGGTTTCAGGGTAGGATACCTTGTAATTTACCATAAAGGGTTTAGGATAATCATATTCCAACTTTCTGGCCTTTACTTTAAGCCCTCGTTAACCCAAAGTTCTGGCGCTTCAGGGCAGCAGATGCCTTTACTGGTAGGGTTTAGGGTTTAGGGTTTAGGGTTTTAGGGTTTTAGGGTTTAGGGTTTAGGGTTGTAGGGTTTAGGGTTTAGGGTTTAGGGTTTAGGGTTTTAGGGATTAGGGTTTAGGGTTTAGGGTTTAGGGTTTAGGGTTTAGGGTTAGGGTTAACGGATGTAGGGCTGAGGGA